AATCTTTTCACGCATAACTTCGGTTCTCTGTGGTTCTAATAAAACCGATATCTCATATGAGTTAAATATGAATGTTAAAATTCATGTTTGTCAAGCATTTTGATAGTGTACTGAAGAGCACCATAGGAAAAAAAAACTAAACCAAAACAGAAGGAAATGGGATTTCTGTCCTTAAAGCAGGATTTGAATAAAATGCAATAAATAAACATTAAACAATGAAAATAAAATGAAACATTGAAGAGCTACTCATTAACGGAGCAATTTTTTTTCTGTTGTAGATAGTATACAGATAGCTGTAGAAAAATATATAGATATGACTAAATATTTCAAGACTCTATCATAAGTAGAGTTGTTCAAAAGATTAGTCATCTGAACAAGCAAGAAATTTAAGAAAAAGATGGTTGAGTTCAGACCAAAGTCAAATTTTTGTTTATTCTTATCATCAAAATAAATGCATTTTCCTTATAAGACAGTTACATTGTGAAACTAGTCATTACTTTGAATTTATAGTATATTCTTTTCAAAACATCAAACCATACTACTGTGTCTGCTGTAAAGTCTGAAAGGTATTTTTCAGCTGAAGTCTTCATCCAATTTCCCTACATACCTTCAGTTACCTGAATTTTCATTTTTTATATAATTGGCTGTTCAAGTAAAGCACTGAATTATCTGTGGTCTCAGCATGGGTAGGGAGCACTGTCAGGTGAAAGCTGAACAACCAACCTGAATCTTGGGTGTTGGAGCTTCAGACTCTGAAAGATGAGTGACTTGGTCTTTTAACTTAGCTTTGGATGTACAATATAGATGCAACAAACCATTCATGATGGGGAAGACTTGTTAAATGTTATGGCTTTGCAATCAAGGACATTATATGAGATAACCAGAGTCAACTTTTTCAACTTGAAAAAACCTATTTATATTAGCATTTGAAATGTAGCCTAAGTATCCTGTTCATTCCCAAGATTATATATCTAGATTATATGCTTATATGTAGTCAACTGTTACACTGCAAAACAACAGCAGCAGATAGAGATTATTCTAATTTTATGGAATGAATATAAAGTGCTCTGCTGCAGGTTTTCCACTGAAAAATTATATATGGAAATGGAAATGTTGGTCAAGTTATCACATCTCCTGAAAGGACAGTTCTTTGAGTACTGAGGTGAGGTATATTAGAAGGCAAAAATGACAAAGCTGCCACGAAGATGAATGGGTGGAGGAAGTTAAAGCAGAACAAAATGGGGAAAAAAGAGACACCTAGAGGGAAAGATCTTCAATGGCAATTGGGAAAATCATATCAGTCTAGAGAGAATGTAATATTCAGTGAAAATCTAACTCTTCATTGGAGGCTGAGAATGGTAGGATATAAGGTCTGAAATAAGATGAAATCAGAATAATCTGTTTTTTTCCATACAAAGGTCTTCAGCTAAGCCAGAGCTGAAAATTCCCCTTAGCAATGTTCTCAGTAAATACCCCAAATATAAGAATATTAAAAAAACGTCTGGAAATAATTTGTATTTCCATCAGAAACCAAATAAATCATCTATGTTCTAATCAGTGACTTTGTTAATTCTAAGTCTCCTTTCTCCTACCTTCAAAGCTGAGATTGCAGATTTTGGTATTTTTATTGTATTTGGATGTTTTTTATAAAGTCTTGTGTTTGTAAGTCTATTCTACAGCATGTGAAGAGCTGCAATTACATGAAGAAGGTCAATGTTGCAGATTGCAAAGTCATATTTTTCTTTAAATAGGTACAAACCCTCCTAACATTGCTACCCCTCTGTCTCAGTCCATGATACCAGTCCAACAATCAATCACCAGGGGCATTGGACACCCATAATTAGATTATAAAATCATAACTATAGTCATTTTACGTCTGCTTGCATAATTACATCAGCATGCTAATATCCTTTTAATGGTCTCTAATGATGTAATAAGAAATAATGGAATTTATTTGACAGCTACATAGCCATTAACAAAACATATTAAGCATAACTATTACTTCCATAAAGATTCAGGCTGTGTCCAAAAGTGACAACTAACATGTTGGATCTTTTTTTTTTAACGTTGAAATATTTCTAATTATGAATTCCTTAAATCTATTCCCACTCATCTCCTTCCCAGGGTGACCAAAGTTTATGTCAGTTTGAACTCGACAACAAATCAGCTGAAGAAGTGGACTGAGTGCTCTGGAAGTCAAGCCTGAGGCTATACTGTGAATTGAAGGCTATCAGTTGAAGTTGGCAGGATTGTGAAAGACAGAAGATAAGATAAGCTGATTACTACCATGCATCAACTAATCACGAGCTATCAGGGGGAATTGGTAGGAATCCATGGCAAAAGCAATTGTTTCACTTACCCTACTCCAAAGCACAGGGAAAAACTAAAAATATAGGGAAGAGTGAAAGAGATTTGCAGACAAAAGTAAAGATTGTAATTTATTAGTGAAAAAGACCCTTTAATGTATTTTTTTTTCAGAGAAAAGTGCAAGAAACTCTTAACTGAGAATTTAAAGTGCTTTAAAAGAACTCACCACTTGCCCTCTCTCCTTAGTTCTTCTTACACTATTCCGATTTGGTGTGATGACTTTGTCTACACTCTCAAATTAACTCCACTATCCTCATTAACATCTCTGAAATCTCTGCAATGATCTAAAAAAAATCCAAGTCTACACTGTTATTTTTTAACCATTTGGAATTCTTGGAGGGAAAAGAGAGAACTGAGTATTTTAGACCATGCAGATACTCAGGTCAGAGTTCAAAGTGGGCTAGTACAACAAATTCCTCCCCCTTTTATAAATCCTCCATCTTCAGGCTTACTGGTAGTTTTTTCTACATAAATTCCTCATTTTTTAAAAAAATGAATCTCTAAGAAAAAGAACACTTTTAGTTGCCAGTGAAATAATATAATGTACATCACCCCTGATTCCAAAGACCAAGTAGAAAGCATATTTTCTGAGAGAGCTCATTCTCCCTCTTTGGTATGTCAGTTGTGGATATGACTTGGTATCAAGTTTTTCCAGAAACTCTTGTCCATGAGGCCACTCAGAAGCTAACAAAAGTCCTCAAACTCACAGTTTTCCACTGATAGTAGTGCAGTGATAAGAAAACAACAAATCCAAGAAGTGTTAACTCTTTTCTTGGCAAAACCTTTTTCTAGAGATTCTACTACTGTTATATCTACTGGTAAGCTCCACATTTCTTTAGTATTTCATGGGTTTAACCTGAGTCAAAGCATCTCATTCTCTTGGGCAAAGAAAATTTGTTATGGATGAATTCTCACTAATCTGAGATTTGGGATAACCTTTCGCAGATTTATAGATCATTTAAAAAGGCAAAGACGGATAAAAACATTGTGCGGATAGACAGAATCCTGAGTTCTGTTTGGAGTTACTGTAAATCATAACATACTTTTAAGATACTGACCATACCAGTACTTTCAGTACAGTCATTGCATATTAATAGATGCAAAATAACCAGCTTCCCTAATTTTGCACATTAAAATAAAGAAAAGGTTGATCATAGCTAGCTATATCTCTGGAGGGATATTTTTCATTAGAGAATGAATCTACAGCCTGCCAGTTGCAATGTTGTTGTGATTTATCAAATGATAAAAAATAACCAAAAGGCTTTATACTAACAATTAGAAAGGTAGGTGAAAGTGCTCTTGTACTGTAAATGAATGAACTTAATGATGCAGAACCTGCTGATTCCTGCAGAGAAATTGTTCCATGGGATTACTACTTTAAATGTGCAGTAGTTTATCTGCCAGTGTTCAAAGTCAAGGATGCAAATTCTCTTTACAAGGAAGATAATAGAATATCATCGGGCTTTGTAATTTTAAAACTCAGTTTTCATAAAAGTGCATTTCATGAAATACAACCAAAAAACATTCATAGCAACAAAGCAAACAAATATGGGAATATTTTCCTTCTCAGTAACTAAAGTCAATGTGTCTGGTATTTTTCAGGTTTCTAAAAAGATTTTTTCCCCAGTAGTCTATTTTTCCATACACATACAGTAATAAAAGGGGTTGAATTTTATTTCCAATTAAGAATAAACACTTCCACTAAGGATGAAACATCACCTGACTGTGACTAAATCAGAGCATTAAACAATGAATTACGTTCTGCAACTGAAAGTTAAACAAAAGCTGATGGCAGCACAGGTGAGGCTGAGAAAAGCTCTACACTTCAGCAACCCAACTCGTGGGCCAAAGCAAGTAGCCCCAGATCCTGTGAAACACAGGCTACCCAGACGTCAGTCATTTTCTGTGAACCCAAGATGTGGTTCTTTCCAGGAAGCTGTTGAAACCCTCCCACAGCTCACCCTTCTTTTCCATTCCTTTTGTATCAAACTACTTTTATTTTCTGTTTTATAAAGAAAGAATGAAGTTTTGTGAAGTAAATGTTCCTACCAAAATGCTTTCAGAAAATCCCCACTCTAAAGCTCTTTACTGGGCAAAGCAAATCCATAACCTTCTAGTTCATGACATTAACATGCAGAGCATTCCTCAGTATGAATCATAGGAGGAAAAACAGTATCTCAACACAGCTGAACTCCCTGTGACTTTTTAAATAAGTAGTGATCAAGCAGCACGACCTAGGGTGCCGTGTGCCAGACTCAAAGCTAGGGACCCAAATCCTTTCTCCATCTGTGATGTAACTTTTCCCCTCGGCAATGCTGGGTATAATGACCCTTCACAAGACTTCCCTTACCTAGAAGCTGTTACATAAGGTTGGTGATATTTTTACAGCCCTTTGAACAGATTATTTTTCACTATGGAAGCACAGAAAAGTTTCAGTCTCTATAATTTTTTTTCAAAATAATTTGTTCCTGTGTGTAGGGAATGTTACAAAGATCATCACAATACTCTCTTTTGCCTCTTGCACATTCTCATTAATTTTGGCATTAAGGAGCAGATATTTCCTTGCAAGAGAAACTATTCAAAAATAATGAGATATCCAACAAAATAAAAAGGAGCAAATTCCATGTACATACTTGACATCATCGAAGGCACTCATCTGCAGCTTCAGGAGATCTGCCACTTCCTTTATTAACTCCAAGCCCTTTTCCACACTCAGGGGGCTGTCGAAAGGGAGCAAGAAAACAGAGCATTACAAAAATGGAACTCATCAATACTTGAGAGGCTAAAGGTCCCAAAAGAGTTATCACCTTGGCCTCTTTGAGCCTGAAAGCCACCACTAACTGTATTCCTGTCACATAGTGATCGTGATATCCAGGGAATTGGGATCAGGTGCTTCTTCAGGCATGATGAATCACCTGAATTTTCCAGCAATAAGACAAACAATAAGGTGTAAATGGAATTGTTAGGAAGTGTAATGGGCCCATGATGCAGCAACCAGTTCATCTCAGTCCTCAATAAAAAATGTAATAAAGTAAAAGGACAGAAAGAAAGAAAAGGATTGACGAGACAAGGAGGGAAACAAACAATAAAAGTCAAATTGCAGGCTCGGTATCAAATGGACAAGGGAAAAGCGTATTTTTAAATTCATTAGTTTTTAAAATGAATCTTTGCCCAGTGAAAGGATACAAAATTATTATGGATTTGAAAGTAAACAATGGAGCAAGACACACAGTCCAGAGGACACTGATTAGATACATAGGATTTAGCTTGGTGTGTGCATACACTGCTGACAGAAACCCCTTTAAATCTTTTTAGCCTTTGTCAATGCCACATTTACATTTTTTAATTTAGAAAACAGGTTGCAATCAAGCCTAACATAAGAAGACTGCTATCATTTTAAAAAGCACTTATCTAGATGCAAAATTTATATTTGCAAAAATTTCAGGTTATTACAGTTGTTACAACTCTAAAGATGCATTAAGAACATTCCATCCCTGCTATACAGATCATACCTTGCTTGGATGTAGTTCAGTATTGTGGAACCATTTAAAGAAGTATTAAGAAAGCAAAAGGATACAGAAATTATATAACAATGTCCAGTAAAAACAACATATACAACATTCTCTGGCTAAGTCATAATCACAGATGTATTCTCAACAATGTTAAACCTCAAAGATCATAAAATTAAACCTTGCAAGCTAATCTAACTCATGACACGGTAATGCAGAAGCAACTTTGATGAGACTAACCCAGGGGAAAAAAGGTTCTGTATTTTTTCCTTCAAGGATATATAACAAGTAGAAGAAGGTGTCAAAAGAAAGTATGTAGTATTAGATACAATCTTTTTAACTGGACTAAGGTGACAATGTTTGTTTTTCAAAGCTTTTTACAAAGGTAATTATTTCTGCCTCACAGTTAAAGTTTTTGAATCTAATTTTACATCACAGTAATCATTACCACCATTTTATTTATTGCCTGCAATGAGCACTGGCTTTTTTGGTTGCTTTTTGGATTGAGTTTTTTTTGTGATTTGGGTTTTTTTTTTTCCCTGGGTTCTGCATACACTGCCCTAAGGGCACCACTATTTAAATAATGGGATGTCTCTTGCGGATCTTGGTTAGGATGGAATTGCTCAGCCTCCCTTCGTGTTTCTAACCCAAAAGGCTCAAGAGACCTCCCGTCACACAAGCAGAGGTAGCCCCTCAAGGCACCAGATAAATTTAGAGTTCTTCTAGATGTCTAAGACAGAAATGTGCTTGTGTGAAAGTAACAAAAGAATCTGATTGATTCTGCAAGGAAAAAAATGTACTATAGATTATTCATAAAACCCTCATATTTCAAGGACTGACAGTGGGAAAAAATGTGATTATTCCCATCACTATGAAAGCAGATTGTCATAGTGACTCTGGGGTTTATGTGTTAATTAAATTTTTTCTCCCAAAGACGTTGGCTTAAATTTTACCAGAATGATTGGTGTCAGCAAGTGGGCTTTTACTGCAACAGCAAGTCTGATGCAGGCAAGGACTGATGTGTACATTGGTGTGGGTTTTTTACCAAGGGAGCCTCAGTTGTAAAAGCTCAACCTTCTATTCCCTGCTTACTCCTCCCATCCTGAAAAAAAACACTCCCCAGTTTCAAAACGGAGATATGCTGCAACAAGCCACTGCAGTAGCAGTAAACTGGGGATGTAATCAGAGCACTGGAGTGCTACAAAACAGAAATGATGCTGGAGGGAAAATGGAAGGGAAAATGGTGCTGGAAGGCCATTCTTTTGCAAGCCTGATCCAGGAGTAATCTTAGTAACTCGCATGCAATATGAAACTAAAACACTGTCATCTTTGAAGACTCTCATCAAGAATGATTACAATCACTATATTTTCCAATGAGATTTTCCCAAATTCTCAACACTGATACATTCTAGTACTGTTTATTACTGTCTTATGACAGTTGTGTTGTAGGACAGTAGAATATTGAAAACCTTTCTCTAAAAATGCCAGACCGTGATTTTCCACACTAAATTCATTCTTGGCTTTTGTTTCGTGTTGCATTTCGCTCAGTGTTGCATGGTTTGTACAGTGATTAACTTCATTTACATGGAGAGAGTAACACTGTTTTCACCAGCACAGTGTTAAGCAAACTAACCTACCTTACAACAGCACCTTAAACCAATATCACCCATCTGATTTCAGGCTTATATAAGGAGAAGGCAGAAGACAATCTCGCAAACACCATCTATCCTCCTGACCGTGGCTCTTCCACACATCCCCAGTGCAAGCACACAGTACTTGTGAACAGACAATATTTGTAGTCTTTCACATATTATGTTTAGTTTTCAACCTGCTTGATTCAGTTTCTGTATTAGGGAGTGGGTTTTTTCTTAAGAATATGTTTCCTCTGCTGTTTGTGAGGATGCAACAACTGTGGAACTAATTCAACAGAAAACGTTGCAATAAACCAAAGACAAAAAGTAATTGTTCAGATAAGGAACAAACACTGAGATACTCCATAAAGAAATTGTAACAGTAGAAAGAAGACTCTACAGAGAACCCTGAAAACTGAACTATTTTATCAAGGCCAAAGACTTGGAGAAAATTTATGGGTAGGGTTTACTCTGCTTTGTCTGAACTGTTGAGATGGTCACTTCAGTACCAGAGGGGAAGGAGGGAGGGAAACCTCTTCTGGTCATGGGCCTTGATGGTAGCACTGGTAGCAACTCCTTTTGGTCATGGCCTTGCTCTGAGCAGCACAGCACAGAGGGAATCTCTGGGCTGTGGGCCCTCAGGTTCAAGGTCCAAGACAGGTGCAATTCATTTGTGTTTTCTTTCAGGAGCCTGTAATAAGGCATTTCAGTACACCAGCAATGGTGAATCCTTAAAAGAGGAACCACAGTTTACATGGGCCTCAGAAATACAGAGCGTGAGCTGGTAAAACCAAAAGCAGCGAAAGGACTTCTCATGGATGCCATTTATGTTTCCTCAATTCTCTCAAGGCTGGCTAATCCTTCCTATGTCAAAGAAAACTAATGGTTTCTGCAGTGTATTTAACAGTCCTGCTTGATGGGCACTGGAAAAGGCTCCCCAGAGAAGTGGTCACAGCACCAAGCCTGACAGAGTTCAAGAAGCATTTGGACAATGCTCTCAGGTTTGATTTTTTGGGTTGTCCTGTGCAGGGCCAGGAGCTGGACCTCTATGATCCATGTGGGTCCCATCCTACTCAGGATATTCTATGATTCTATCATTTAATTTCACCTCTAGTTTCTTGATTGGCCTAAAGATTTCTGATCACCTTTGATCTAGATTTTGGCCGGAGGAAGAGTCAACTGTTGGATGGCATAGCACCTTTTTGCAAAAGATATAGATGCTTTGAGCTCAGATCTGGAGATAATGCTTACTTTGGGGTTCTTGCCTTTGGTTTTATTTCACTTGCAGCAGATTTCTCTTTTGCGTGTTCTTTCAAGTTAACTGTGTTAAATACAATAACAGCAGCCAAACCAAAATGCGAAACATCTCGTAGTTTAATATAATTCTTCTGAGAACCTTTTTAGGTTTCCATCTCCAGTTCTCTACAGCTTGGAGGATGAAAAGAGAATCAGAAAGTATATAAAATTCATGTGTACCAAACTTTCTTCCATTGCTTTATCTTCTAATGCCACCTCTATCTGTGAGACCTAACCTAATTGTTATTTAGCTGACAGATTCAGACCCTACAGAACCAGCAACAGAACTTTGTCTCTCTCAGATGCCAATCCCTAGCTCATATTATTGGTAGAATATCCTTTGACACACTAATGACAACAAAGAAATAAATGGGGAAAGAAATATAAATATTTCCTTTGGGGTTTATGTAGATATATATACAAAGTCTGGCAGAGTATCATCTGCAAAGTATTTCTCTCCTGCTTTTGTTTAATCTTACTTTTCAGGGCATGGCTCGTTCACTAAGCTAGTTATACCTCCTGGAGAATATAGCTCATACCTCTGCTAAAAACAGCCAATGTTATATACGGTGGTACTACATTATCCCTCCAGATGAAATGAGTCTCCAGCTCAGTGCAAGACTATGATGTCATGATTTAACATCATGCCATAACCATGAAAATTTCCATATCCACTTCAACTCTGTGAAAAATAGATCATCCAATTTAGACCTGGTTGGTTGACCTAAAAGGATCCTGAGCCAATCATCTCCCTGTAATTCTATCAGGAGTTTTGTCTAGCACAACAAAACAAACAAACAAACAGGCAGGATCTAGGCTATAAAGCTCTTTGATTTAGAGATGAATCTGAAATGAAAGTAGAGGAATAAATATCTCTTAACTTTAATGTGAGCTGCTGAGCACTTCTGAAAATTAGTGTAATCCATTTAAATGTTCGGGAGTGGATTTGGGAGCCAACTTTATGTAATTGTCAAAGCGTTTCCACAAAGTGTACTGGACATTGAATACAGGAAAATTAGATTGTCTGGTGAAAATAAGATTCTGTATCTTCCAATGTCAAAAAACCTCCCAGTGAGGAAGACGAAAACAGAAATATTTTTAGGAACAATCCACTTACAAAGGTAATTTAAATAATAGAACACTGAATGATAATCTTCCTCTGCTATTGACTAATAAAGATTACACTTTTCAATTTACAAGAAAAACGCAGTGAGGAGGAGTCATTTCTAAAATCTGGTCCCAGAAAGTTGGCACAACTTAAAACAATCCCATTAAGGGATTTTT